GTAAATAGACTTCAGTTTGCAGAATACAGCAAAAGTAGAAAAGCTAAATGCCCAATCAACACCATCTCCTTTTATTGCATCAGGATTTATCAAAGGAAATGTAATTTGCTTTGTGTTCTGTCATTTTTACATTTAATTGAATTTGTAATCAGAGAGTAACATAGTGAGAAAAATAGTAATTTTCTTTTTCCATTACTCCAACCTAAGTAGAAGTGGATTTTCTTGGGGTAGCATATGATGTTACATTTAGCTTAGCAAGTAGACTGTCGGATTAAAGAAAATATTTATACTATTTACATGCAGACTATTGTCCTACAGGATTACCTGGATTGACATAAACCTGATGAAGGCCAGAAGCCAAAATGACAAAACATAACAACAACAACAAAGATGAGGACAATAGTCTGCATGTAAATAGTGTAACTAACTTTACATTCCAAAAATTCACATAAATTCACATAGATCTTGAAACGTATTGCACTTGTAAAACATCACTGAAGAAAGTATGTGGAAATAATCACAAAAAAAAGAAAAAAGTTAAAATTCATAAATTGAGCTTGAAAAGAGGTTTTGTAAAAACTCAATTAGCTGCTTTTATTTTTATTACATAAAGAATGAACAAGAATGTTTTATTCGATGCTTTTGCATTTTATATAACACTTTATTACAATTTTATTCCAAAGTTTAACTCTTAGATAAGCTGAATAATCAGATATTTCCTATTTATTGCAATTTTAAAGGTACTATATTTATTAGCATATAAGATTTTTTTTATATATAAAAAATGAGATCTGAAATGTGTTGAAGTATCTGGTAGGCTAATATTAGTGAAATACTGTAGATTACTTATACCTTGACCAACTCCATAATCCTGTAATATTAAATGTGTATCATGTGTTTTATATGCCATCAAATAGTGTATTTAAATTTTCTACTAATCACTGCATCCAAGTCACATTGTTAAATGATAATTTTATGGGTTTTCTTGTTCTAAATAAGAATAATATATAAGTATAATATTCACATAGTTATGGTTAGGGTAATACAATTTTAACAAGAGTGTTAATCTCAAAAGATAATGACCTTTATGTGAGTATTTTTTTCTCTAGGATATGAACACTTTTATATTATTCAAATATTGTAGATTTTTCTTACTAAACTGAACCAAAAATATTCTCTTGGGAATAGACTTGCTAAGGGAGTGATAATAGAGAGTTTGCTTTCAAGATGCTTTTGTTTGGTTTATTGAGGTGTGAAAGTATTGAGCATATATTGAAATAATTCACCAAATAATTCCTTCAAGGTTGACTGATCACATGTTGATAACAGAATATAAAAAAGAATCTGTCCATAATGTATTTTTTATTCTTATATTATTTTTGCCAACTCTGTAGTTTATTCAGTTATCACTAGTCAACATTACCAATGTCTGGAAATTAACTGGTTTTCAGAAGACTAATATAGGCTTTTTCTTTATGCATATGCATTAAAGATCACAGTGCAAACTCTTTGTTTAGTTAAGGGTCATTGAACAAGGATCAGAATATTTGCAAGATTATTTCTCATTCTTCTGCAGGTGAGGTGCTTTGAGATTTGTGAAATATTTTGTACAAAAAATGTTTTTTTTCTCTCCATCTGTTGAGGGTGGGGATCACTGAATCTGGCTGCTGATTCACATTTGACTCACCCCATTTTCCTCCTCTACTTCCTTCTCCTCCTGCTGCTGTATTAATAATCCAGTCAGTGACTGTTTTTACTGCTTTTTTTTCTCTTAAAAGGAAAAACTTTAATCTGGAACTAATCTTCAAGCTATGGTTGTAGGATGTGGCAATCACAATCATGTATCATCTCTTTAGAGTTTTTGATTGTGGGTAGGGGAAAGGCTTCTAAATGTTAGGATATTAGCTTAAATAAAATATTTTAAATAGTGTGTGTGTGATAAGACTATAAAAATAACCATTGGCCAAACTAAGAGTTGAAAATTTAGAGTAAATAAGTCTAAAAATCTGCCAGTTTGTTTTTATTTTTACAAATCTTTATCTCCAGGGGCACATAAACACATGTAATCTCTTGATAACTCATTTATTCAATTTGAATGTGCTGTCACTGAGTGGTAGTAGTAGACTTTATAAATTAGTTTAGGAAAAATATGAAAATCTTTCTAATGTCAAAATAGTTCTTACAAAAAAGTGTGACAGTGGAGACATTGATATTTCTTTGAATAACTGCATGTTATTTATAATAATTATGTACCCACACTACTTGAGTCTATTCTGGGAATGTATTGATTGAATTATCAATAGAAGTGATTGCTGTAATGTTTTGATGCATTTGCTCAATGTTGTCTAATGTTTTGATGTATTTGTTCAATGTTTAATACCTTGTAAAGTGTTGATATTTTCTTGCTACCAAATTTTTTTTATTTTTTATTTTTTTTTTTTAATTCAGATTCAAATTAATTTCTTTCTTGCAAATGCTGAGTAATAAGTATACTATAAATAGAATTAAATTTCTTTTGTATAATTCAGCTATCTATAGATGAAGGCAATCTTAGAATGTTTTCTGCTTGTTGTTTGGCTGTTGACAAGGTAGTTGGGAATCTATAAAAGATCTAGACAGAATTGCTGGTTTTATCTTGCATTCATTCAACCATTTGGTTACACACAAGGGAAATATTTTCTATCCAGTATAACCCACTGAATACTTACTTTCCACATAAATTCTTCGACACACACACACACACACACACACACACACACACACACACACACACAGATGTAGCTACACATGTGCATGAAGAGGAGGGGCTGTTGAAATTTTAAACTCGAAATTTGTTTTTTATGTTTGGGTATATTATCTAGCCAGTTTCATTTATTTTTTTTTCACTTTTGTTAAGTATTCCACATTGTGATGATTTTTTTCCGCACACTGTTCTGCTATATATAAAAAATTTATGTAATTTTTTTCCTCTCACACACACACATATATATATATATATATATATATATAATATCACTTTCAGTTTAAAAGTTGAGAAGGTATAATTAAAAATTCTTATTTATTTTTAAACCAAATGTTTTCAAGTATAGACTATTATCATGATTCAAATATATTATATGATTGATAAATCCTGTATATAGAATAGCATGATTAAACCTTGTTAATAATCTATAATTAATCATCATTTAAAAAAAAAAAAAAAAAAGCTTAGAAATGTATGCAAAAGCCAGCAGAATATTGTTTTCATTTTGCAAATACATTCTTGTT